TGTGGACTTTCTCGTACTCTAGGTTTTGCTGGGAGCATTTCAGTGAGCTTCCATGGATTTGAGGAAAGGCTAGAGGTAGAAAAATGTAGAAAATCAGTAGGTACTTGAGGTGAGATGCTAAGGAGAGTTGCCCACCACAGATATAGCTGAAATTTGAGCTGCCTAAGGATATAGGACACAAAAAATATCTGTTACTTCTCTTTTTTGGCTGCCAAATGGTACATTGTTTAGTGTGAAGTTCAAGGCCCCCATGACTTAGCTTCAGTTGACCATATGATTCTTTACAATTGCTGCTTCCCCCTGCTGTAACCCAAGAGGAGTGCTCCCTCAGACTTGTCCATATCATAGTCTTTGCTTACTATTCCCATCCCCTGGGATGTGCCCCTTCCTCTTCCATCTGCATCTATCCAAGGCCTGTATGTCTTTCAAGTCCCATCTCCACCAGGAACATTGTCTGGCCCCTTCAGCCCAGTGTTAGCTCTTTGCTCTGCTCTCAGTGTCTAAGTTGCCAACATGGCATTGATCAGAGCTACCTTCTATGCACTTATTTCATTTGTTTTTCTTCAGTTAAATAATATTACTCCAAAAAAATAAGAAAAAAAAAAAAAACAGCAAATAAACAAACAAAAAAGTAGTTGCTGTCAAGTCACCTTCAAGTCATGATAAACTTGTGTGTAGGTTTTCAATGCCTCTTTTTTCAGAAGTAGAAGGCCTGTCTTCTGAGTTGATCTTAGTAGACTCTCTCTAACTTCCAGCCTTTTGGTTAGCAGCTGAGAACTTAACCATTTGCACCACCCAGGGATGCTGTCAATATTACCAACCACCTTCAAATTGCTGGATATGACACCAGGGACCAGAGACACAAAAATACTGCCTCTGCTGTCAAGGAGCTCACAGTAAACAAGGGGATTTGAGCACAAGTGGAGGCCTAGGCTCACTGAAGATGCTGTTGATTAGAACTTGTTCCTATATATATTTTTTTTTTCATAAGATTCCAAATTTTTTCAATAAAATAGCACTTTTTTTTTTTTTTTTTTTTTTGCCAACCTCATCTTAGCTATACAACCTCAGGGATTGTGGAACTTCTGTTATTGTTAGCTGTCATCCAATTGGCCTTGACTCATGGTAACCTTACATACAACAGAAAAAAACACTGCCTGACCGTGTGCCGTCCTCAGGATCAGTTGTAGATCACATTGTTGTGATCCATAGGCTTTTCATTGGCTGCTTTTCAGAAGTAGATCACTAGACCTTTCTTTCTGGTCCATTTTAGTCTGGAAGCTTTGCTGAAACCTATTCAACATCATAGTCATATGCAAGCCTCTATTGACAGACAGGTGGTGGCTGTGCTGAGGTGCCTTGACTGGGTCTCAAACCCAGGTTTCTTGCATGGAAGGAGAGAATTATTCCACTACATCACTACTGGTAGAATTCCTAGGTCCTCAAAAGCCTCTACTTGTCTGGCGGCCCAGACATCTAGAGAATCTATTGATTCTCTTCGAGAGACTGCAATGGAGGGTGGACAGGTGACCCACCAGAGGGCAAGAACAATCTCTCAGGGCTAAGCAGATCAGTCCAACCTCCCCGGTGTGGCAACTGCATTCTTTTGGCCAAAAGCAAGCCTTTCTCACCTCTGACTTCTGAGAATCCTCCCAGATGCTGGCTCCTTTGGAGTTGAATGACCAACAGACTTTTTGAAAGGCTACAGTGATGCTAACCTCATTTCAACACCAACATCATTGTCTCCTAGCCACACATCCCAAGACAAGCCCCAAGGACTTAGTGACTGCAGGGAGTGTGTCCTGCACTCAGAGGAATATCCAGAAGTTTTATTTGTCTTTCTCCAATTCTCAGTGTGAGCCCAGAGTAGCTTATAAAACATCTGATCAAGTAAAAGCTGATTTATTGTGAGATTCTGATTTTTAAAAATATTTTTTAAATTTACCATTTAAAATTATGAAACGAGATACCCACCTTCCAGTTTTAGAAATAAAACATGACCCTGTGTGTCCCTCCTCAACTGCAGTACCCTGAATCGTGTGTTTATCTTTCCTTATAACTTTATTGCATTTATATGCATTTCTAAAAATGTTTAGTTTTGCCCATTTTTTAAATTTAATCATTTCTACTGTATGTGTGGGTGTATGTTGTAATTTTCTTCTTTGTTCCATGTTGTCTAACATTCACCCACATTGGTGAATATAGCTGTAGCTCATCTATTTCCATGGCTGCATAATGATTTACTGCATGTATATGCCATAATACATTCATTTCAGTTGTTTACTGTTTTTTGCTTTCACAAACCATGTTGCAATGTACATTTTTGTATATGGCTTCTGGGATACTTGTGTAAGAGTTCCTCTGGGGAGGTGTTTTTCAACACCTCCAGGCTCAATAGACCCTTTTATGACAAATACTTTATGCTGTCCTTTTTACTATCCTGGAATGAAATTGTTAGATGCTCTATTATCACCTACTTACTCATAGATTTTTTTTTAATTTTTATTGTGATTTGGATGAAAGTTTACAGAGCAAATTCACTTTCCATATGACAGTTCGCATACACATTGTCTCATGACATTGACTACAATTTCCCACAATGCAACAGTTCCCCTCTCACTTCCTCCCCAGAATTACCTCTTCCCTATGTCCTTCCCTCCCACGCATTCATGCCCTTGAGCTGTCTCCCTGTGCATACACATCCCTTCTATTCTCCCATGATTGATCTCTCCGAGGAGTGTATCTACCCAATGTACATGTTCAGCTCATATGCCTGTCTTTTGCTTGGTTGGAAGCCACAGGAGTGGGTTCAATTCCAAACCTGAAGGGCAGTTAGGGGCCATAGTCTCAGGAGTTCCATCAGGTTCTATCAGACCAGCAAATACCTCCTCCCCCTTTTTTTAAAAAATGATTTTGAGTTTTGTTCCACATTGTTCCCCCACTCTATCCAGGATCTTCTACATAGATTCCCTTCCAAGTGGTTGACAGTGGTAGCCAGGCACCATCTAGTTCTTCTGGTCTCATAGTTGTATAGGCTGAGGATCACATGGTGTACCAGTTGCTTGGACTAATTGTTTCCCTGAGTCTTTGGTTTTCTTTATTTTTTGCTCTGGGTAAGGAGAGACCCATCATTGCCTCTAGATGGCTGCTTGCAAGCTTTTAAGATCCCAGTTGCTACTTGCCAAAGTAGGATGTGGAAAATGTTTTTGTGTAGTGTGTTATGCCAGTTGAGCTTGATGTCCCCTGTGACTATGGTCCCGAGCCCACAGGTCCAACTACTCACTCCCTCTGGATAGCTGGCTGTGGCCAAGAAGTGACTACAACCTTGTCCCTTCTCAGCTTTACTATATACCTGGGAATTCTTACAGAACATTCAAATACACTTGGAGAAACATTGCCCACCCTATACATGGTCATAGGCACACTCCCCTCTGTATAGACATTCCTAATAGTTCAGCTTGTCCACCCATCTATCCCCCTATATATCAATGTTTGCCTTCACTGACAATGCAGTACTGTATGTGAAAAAGGGTTCATCTTTGTTGTCTGTACCTCCCATGTACCTATCTTCCTCTTCCTCAATGCCACTGTGTTGATCATTCACATTTGGTACATTGCCCTTCTCTTCACCCAAATCAATACTTCTCTCTACCTATCTAGCAGTGTTCCCTCCCCTCCCCTCCCACCCCTGGTAACCAACAAAGAAAATTTCCTTCTATATATAAACATTTCCTTGACTTTTTACAATAAAGGACTAATTAATACAATATCTGTCCTTCTGTGATTGACTTATTTCACTCAGCATAATGTCCTCCAAGTTCAAGCACATTATGCGGTCCTACTCATAAAATTTTAAAACATCAATATAATGTCCTTACTATAATATAAAAGGTAAATAAAAAAATAATTTATAATAAAAGATGGTTGCATAAGTAGGTAAATTCTTGAGAACAATTGCACTAGAAGATGTCAGATGTTTGCACCTATATATAGAATCACCAGTCTACATCATGTCAGCTATAAACACAAACATGCAGGTGCTTTCATTTGATGATCCAAATACAATAAGCAAGTTTCCCAACATGATTTTCTGAAATGTTGACCAATTTTTGGTAAAGTCCCAAAAAGCACAGCAAAAAAGCATAATCTTCCTTCTATTTCAAAAGTAGTACAATTACTGGAACATTCAATGGGTTAAAGTTATGAAAAAATTAGTTTGTATTTATATGTAAAACAAAATTAGATGTTTTCAAGGCTCATCCTTGTTGTAGTACGTGTCAGGACCTCATTTCTCTTTCTGGCTGAGTAATATTCCATTGCACATACATACGTACCACATTTTATTTATCTACTCATTTGTTGATGGACATTTAGGTTGTTGCCATTATGCTGAGTGAAATAAGTCAGCCAAAAGAACAAATATTGCATGATTCCACTTATATGAAATATCTAGAATAAGCAAGTGTGTGCAGATCTAAGTTTATTAGAGTTTACCAGGGACAGATGGGAGGGAGGGTGAAACGGAAACTCATTGCTTAGGGAAGCCTGGAACAGATAAGGGTGGTGATTGTACAACATGATAAACACAGCTAATATAATGAACTGTATATGTGAAGAATTTTGAAAAGCCAAATGTTTTGTTACACATACATTTACAAAAACAAACAAATAAAAACAGAGTTAGGCTGTAAGATCAGACGATAGGTTAGAGAAAAGCTCATAATTATCTTTATTAGGTTTCCAAGATGGTGGTACCAATATACTGTCCCACCATCAGTGCATGAGAATTTGTTGCTCTGCTTCCTTACCTACACTTAGGATTGTCAGAAATTTTAACTTTTGCCTGTCTAGTAGAAGTAAAATGTAATATGGAAAGCTAAGTATTGTCTTAGCTTTCCATATGGTCATGTTTATATGTTTATGGACCATTCATGTTTTGTCTTCTATGAAATTGACTGTTTCTATTATTTGCCCACGAAGTTTTATTGTTTATTTGTAAGATGATCATCACATAGCCAAGATGATTGTCACACTCATCATGTCTATCAGTGATGTGGTCAACCAGGACCTGGTGATGGGAGCCCACCTTGGAGTCTTCTTCTTGGAGAACTACCATGTCTCACTGGCCAAGAAAGACATCTCAGCTGTTAACCTCTCTGATCAGATCTCTACTGCATTTATTGAGGCCTCAGGCACTGGCAACATGAAGTTCATGCTCAATGGGGCTCTGACCATTGGCACCATGGATGGCCCCAACATAGAAATGGGAGAAGAGGCCGGTGAGCAGAAATTATTCATCTTTGGCATGTGGGTGGAGGATGTGGACAAGCTTGACCAGAGAGGGTATAATGCCCAGGAGTACTGCGACCACATTCCCAAGCTGCGGCAAGTCATCGAGCAGCTCAGCAGTGGCTTCTTCTCCCCTAAACAGCCTGACCTATTCAAGGACATTGTCAACATGCTCAGGCACCATGACCGGTATAATGTCTTAGTGGATTATGAAGCCTACATTAAATGCCAGGAGAAAGTCAGGGCCTTGTACAAGAACCTGAGAAAGTGGACACGGATGATTATTTGAAACACCACCACCTCGGACAAGTTCTCCAGGGACCGCATCATTGCCCAGTATGCTGGGGAGATCTGGAACGTAGAGCCTTCCCACCAGCTCCTGCCTGATGAGACTGTCTGAGCCTCCAGACCAGACCCCAAACAGCCGGAGTTTGTGTGCAATCCCTTGGGCCAGCTCAGCAACTCATTCAGATAGTGGGAGTCCTAAGTCAGTTCTTAAGCCTCCTGTAACTCCCATATCCTCTCTTGAGGTCCCAGTGTCCAGTGTGATGAAGGACACTACCCCCCTTCCCATCCATGGGCTCCCAGGCCCCACTCCTATATATGAAGTCTGACCAGTTGTATCCACTCCCCAGTAAAATGATAGTCTTGGGGGGCATCCTTAAAAAAAAAAAAAAAAAAAAAAACCATTTTTATTGAATAACAATATTTTGCCAATTATATGCATGCAAATATCTTTTCCCAATTGATGGTTTTATATTTTCACTTAGTTCATGGTATCTTTTGCTGAGAAGTTTATCATTTTGATTTTATATATAAATGTGTATGAAACTATGTTTAAAACTTTCCTTTGGAAAAGGGTCACACTCATGGGCTCAGAGGGCTCACCTGTTTGCCTAGTTTTTTTTCCCATCTGCTCAGCTCCCTATACACATACTTTATAGGTTTTACCTCCATGAGGCAGATTTTCAAGACATCCTTAAAATAGCTGTTGGCATGTTAGAATCCTGTTCTATCTATTGCACTGAGTGTTGGTTTAACAGCTAGACCTTGGTAAATATGGGATAGTGCTTAAAAGCCCATGACCCATGACCCAGCTACGCCATGGTGGAGCAGGAGTCTGTATCAGGATTCAGAGTTTACTGAACCCTCAGAATCATCCAGTAACTCTGATGTAGGTACTAAGAAAAGCTGTAATGCCACTGTCTCCAGATGTACCAGTGAGAAAACTAAGCAAGAAATTGAGAAAGAGTTTTGCAGCTTGCTCTCACCTTCCAGTTCCAGCCTCCCCATCTGTGCAATGGTGTTACCTCTCGAAAGTGCTGGGTGAAATGATGAGTTGCCAAGAGTAAGTGATCTTTGGAAGTGAAAGTCTTGCTAAGCTGGTGTGAAGGGAAGTCCCACCCATCTACCCTCTTAAACTTTTTCTCCTGGTGGATAAAAAATGTGAAATCTGGCCAATTATAATTATATGAATCTATAGAGAGACAACTATTTCCCTTGTGAGAGATTAACTCAAGTCTCTTCCAAAGGAACCCCTGGGTAATGCAAAAATTTAAGCCCTTGACTACTAACCAGAAGGTTGGGTGTTCAAACCCACCCAAAAGAGCCTTAGAAGACAGTCCTGTGATCTGCTTCCAAAAGATTCCAACCTTGAAAACTCTATGGAGCTGTTCTACTATGCATATGTGGGACTGCCATTAGGGAGGGTTGACTTGATGGCAACTAACTAGTCTCTTCCAGGAGTCCTGGAACACTTCACAACGCTATCTTTTCCCAAATGTGCCTATGCTACCCTTGTTCCCAGCTCACCCCTGGTACTGAAGGCTGAGCCCAGCAGAGCTGTATGTAGCTAATTTTAGTATCAGACATATCTTTTCCAGCTCTCTAGGTGAGGGTCTGATCAATCCTTTAGTTCAGGGATAATTAGATAGATTTGTGCTTAATGGATTTTCCAATCAATGCAACAACTTTAGGACTAATTTATGAAAATCGAACACAGTGATAAAATGTTGTATTAAAACCCTACTTATCTTACAGATAGAAATGTAGTATTTGGGGTAGATTTATAGATAGATAAGAGAGTCCAAGTAACAGTAAATAGACTTTCCCAAAGAAGTATCAATGCTGTCCTTAGGAGTAGGTATGGGACTGAGAAGTTGAAGTCTTTTCCCAGGGGTGTGTATACTCTCCTTTCAATATGTTCTAATGCTTTGCCTCTTCCTTTCCATCCCAGTGACAAAACACAGACTCAGTCTCCTAAATCTACCTCACCATAAATGAAATCTGAAAATATATGTTATTGTCTGAGCTAAATCTTAGGGAAACTGGTTCTCCAAAACAGGGCCACTTTCAAATGGGCATGGTCCAAATAGCCAGTGTTTCCACACTTCTTCTGAGCAGAAGTCTTGCATCTGAGCACCTATCCCTAGACTCTGATGCTCGGGGTGGGTCTGGTGAGCTCACAAAGAGGTATGGGCAGATCAGTGTTACCACTCTCCTAAAAAGCTTAAAAAAACCCAAACTAACAACAACGACAGCAACCACAACAAAAAGTCCTCAAAGTCTTTTGGAAAGCTACTCTTCAGAATGAAAAAGGGTAGGAGGAGACTTATTTTATTGCATTTTGTGTCTGTAGGCCAGGGACACGGTAAAGCAAGAAAGGCCCAGAGCCTCTTTGTGGCTAGTATGAAAGACAGCATCTGGCAGAGGAAACACTCCCTGATAAGACATGGGTGCAAATGCTTCCTGATAATTCTAATCAAGGAGTACTTTCGTTAGCATTCAAGATGGCTGGATGACACATTATATGAATAATTTTAGTTCTTTGTCAGGACTTGGATGATATCTTCCCGTGACACATCTGTAGTTGTGCATACTTAATTACTGACTAAAGAACAGACAGGAGGCATGAATCTCATGTGCATCCCTTATGCTGCAGAAATGACACATACATTCAAAAGGACAGACATTCGAGAAGTAAATGAGACAGTAAGCTTCTCAGACAGGGGCCTCCTGGGACATTTGTGGGATCAGAGAACCTAGCCTGTTGCTTCTAACCTGGAAGCAAGGACAGGGCTTTGGTCTGAGGAGGATGGTGTAATAGTTAACACACTCAGTCGCTAACCAAAAGGATGGCCATTCAAGTCCACTCAGAGGACCCTCAGAAGAAAGGTGTGGCAATCTACTTCTGTAAATAAGCAATTGGAAACCCTGTGGAGCACAGTTCTGCTCTGACTCACATGGGGCTGCTGTGAGTTGGAATAGACCCATTGGCACCCAGCCAGGATTCCTTTAGGAGCTAGGATGGGGTTCTGCAGGGCCACATGCTCTTGCCAAGCTCCCTTCAGAGCAACATTGCATCCCTGAGTTCAGACAAATAATATGTGAGGACTATGACAACTTTTGAACACTTAAAATGTGCCAAGTATTATGTAAATACTTCACAAATGTCACTGACGTGACTGACTTTATCAAGCTCAGATACAAATATCAAGACAGCATTTGGAAAAATAATTTACTTAAAACTTTTATTAGAAGCAGTTTTCATTTGGTGTGGATGGAGAGACCATTGCTATGTGATAATTTGTCATTTGAAAAGCCATAGCGTGATATTCTGACCCTTATAAAATTAGTTACCACTGCAGCTACCCTCCACACTTGTTACATGGTGTCCATTCTTGTCTGCTGTGTCAGCAGTTTTCTCAACTCAAGTTTCCTTGTTAGCTGTGTACAAAATGCAAACCACATAAAATGAAATTACAGATCTTTGAAATGGATCAAAAGTTCTTGAAGTTAATGAAAATGATGTTGGAGAACTGTTCAAATAAACTCCTTGATTAGCGAGGATCTGGTTGTGTTATATTAAGTAACAATGGAAGAGAAAATTAACAAGGATGAGAACAAAAAAGGCACTTAAAAAGGAATAATTCGAAAGGTAAAGAAGGAAAAGAGGTCCCTGAAGAAAAAATGGAAGATTTTCAATTGATTAGTTTCTGCCACAATCAACTTTTTAAGATAGTGCTGAGAAAATGAAACATGAAACAATTATCGTCATACTTACTCCAGCTTATCTTGTGGTCCCCTAAATATAGCCACTGGGTTGAGGGGTGGAGTCTGGAGGAATTTTTAGCATGCTGAAATCAGGCCCATAGCCGTGCGTCCCCCTCTCCTCCACATAACTTAATTCCAGTAGGCTTCTTGCCCTTCCTTAACACCGATCCTTGGATAAATTCACCCTCAATCACATGGCCAAGCATGAAACTTGAAGAATGGGATGGGAAGCTGTAGAACATGACTTGCTTAGGCCTGTGACATGTTCTAGGAAAAAGTTTTACGAACGAGACCCTGTGTGAGTTGCACCATTACCTTTCCAATGCTGTTATGTTCATGGGACCACATAACAAGATGAAATCCAACAACAAAGTCTTACCCCAAGGTGATATATACTCTGCCCGTCTATGCTGATATATACTGACTACATCTTTTGATAAAATATTTTAACTCTCTGTGGCTCTCCATTACTGAGCCATTTGACTGATAGCTAATATTTAAGTAACACTTGCTATGAGAAAACTAAATATTTTACATTGATTGCATCATTTAACCTCAACAATGAACTATGAAGCAAATTTGTTAGCCCCATTTTACGGATGAGGAAATTGAAGCCTCCTCATCTTGGTCAAGGGTTACACAGCAGAATTGGGATTTGACCTCTGGTCTCTCTACCAATACTATATGTTCATTTAATCTTCATGACCGTCTGATAGGGCCACACCCTATCAGCTCACAGGCAAAGAAGCCACCTTTTCCTCATGCTTCCTGAGTCTGTTCCTGAAAGATTGTGCTGTCCCTGGCAAGTTTCTCTTGGCATAATAAACACTGAGAGATTGATAGTGCGTACAGGTGTGCAAACACATTTGTTGTCGGGTGCCATGGAGTCAGTTCCACATCACGGAGGCCCTGTGTATATAACAGAACAAAATGTTCCCGGGCCTGTGCCATCTTCAGGATCATTGGTATGTTGGAGACCGTTGTTGTAGTTATTGTGTGAATCCATCTTATAGAGGGTTTCCCTCATTTTTTGCTGACACTCTAGTTTATAAAACATGATGCCCTTTTCTAGCAATCCATCTTTCTTGAAGATCTGTCCAAAGCAAGTGAGTCGAAGTCTCATCATCCTCAGTTCTAAGGAGAATTCTAGTTGTATTTCTTCTAAAACTGTTATGTTTGTTCTCCTAGAAGTATGTAGTATATTCAATATTCTTTACTGATATCACAGTTTTGAATGCACCAATTCTTCTGTCTTCCTTTTTCATCATCCAGCTCTTGCATGCATATGAGGCGGTTAGAAAGTCCATGTCTTGAGTCAGGTCCACCTTACTCATCACAGTGACATCT